TTAAGTCGTCGATAATCCACGCAAAAACGTGTTGACCCGTCCTTTTTCTTCACCAGTGTGACTGGTGAAGACCAAGGGGAACACGCAGGTTCAGTCACGCCCTGCTGTAGCATGGTCTTTACCATGTCGTTAACAGATGACTGTTGTGCAGTGGGAACGCGTCGAGGAAATTGTCGTACAGGGGTAGCCTGTCCCGTCACGATGTGCTGTGTTGCTGCTGATGACAAGTCCATATCCCTGGCTCCCGTGCTGAAAAGTTCTGTAAATCTTTCAAGTAGCTTATGAAGCTTACCCGCGCTGGTTTTATCGAGGCCAACAGTCGCGCCCTCGTAGAGAAGTAACACGTGTGGGGCCAACTTGGTTGGTAATACGTGGAGGCACGGACACGGGAACTCGGCGTTTATTGGGAGTCCACCGTCGCAGAGAAACGTCACTGTGGCAGCACCCAAGGGAAACGAGTCGGTTCCCAAATGCAGCCATCCGGCATTGAAGTCAAGCACGCATTTGTGTGCTTTGAGAATATCAACGCCAAGAATGCACTGCTCCTCGACAGCCGGGATGACAAGGGGCAAAGCAGCTTGAAGGCTTCACACAGTGAAAGGCACGGTAGTGCAGCCGAGTACAGCTACCGGCGCCCCTGTTGCGGTCTGTAGAGCATAGCAACCGGAGTTTGCTGGGGGGTCATTCCATGCCAAAGGAGACGGCAATTTTCGTCATATTTTGGATATGCTTGAAAAAAATAATATGAATAAAGACACATTTGAAAGTAAGGATGGCTAAGTTTGAGGGCTGAATTATGTTTATTTTTGCTGACGTCATGCCCCAAAGTGCAGGGAATTTGAGTAAACCTCCTGTCTTTCAAAAAATTGCTTAAGAAAAGCTATTCTTACCACATAATTTTACGTTTGCATGCAATCAAGCATAAATATATTCTATCTTACCTTAAAAGGAAAACACCTTACGCCGCCATTTTGGGTCCAGACAGGCACTCCAAACCGAAGCAAATTTTTAAGATTTCTTGAATTTTTTTAGACAACTTGAAATTAAAATTTGACTGAGAAACTTTTTCTACTTATTTTTATAAACCTTATACTCGACTAGGTTGCATTACAGCAGTAAAAAATTATTCGGACAGTTTTTAATTAAATGGTGAATATGACACTTTCTTCAAAAACTGCCCTATAGAGGATAAAAAAAAGCCATGTGGGCAACGGTGCTCGAATTTTCTGAAATAGCCGAAAGGTTAACCAACTCCCTCTGTTCAACATATCAAAAAATTAGAAAAGTACTTTTTGATATTTTGGAGAGATTATTTTTTAAATATGAGGCAGAACAACATCGCCTCCAGGTGTTCACCTCGTCGGCAACGCACGCCGTCGTCTGGTGCGGTCGAGCGAAACACTGCACGGGGAACTTGATTTCGTTAACTATATTTTTATAGCTAACGCTAAGAATCTTGACATTATGACATGTCTATTTATAGTGACTAGAAAGGTGATATTTTTTTTCGTCTAAACAGTATGTTTGGGTGCGCTTGCAAGTTGAATAGCGACAACTCGAATACTGTTTGGGATACTTTTTATCAAAGACGAAACAAACCACATTTGTAGTGCATCGACATTTCTTTTTTTGTTATGTACATGAATGTAATATATAGTCCAGAAATACTATGTACAGATGTCACTCAGATAAGATATCAATATACCAGAAAGGGCAGGCGAATACTCATATTTAGGGGTTTTCGATAGGAGCATAACACATAACTTTTTTTTCATATAGGGGAGACATATATTTTACAAGTGGTAAACACGTAACATGCTTTTGTTGTGTTATAATCTTCGAATGGCCGTTGGCCTGAATATCCACTCTTAACGTTCTGCTTCTTTTAATGTTCCACTCTCTGTATTTCAGTTGCACTATGTATTTGCACACCAATACCTTTTCGTTGAAAAGGAGGAAAATCACCGTTATCGCTAGGCATCGTTGACGATTTCCAGCGTTCACTATTTCATTTTTTACAAGCAAACGCAGTATGACCAAAAAGTAAAGACGCGCGCCGTCTGCTGACCAATTTTGATGAACCGTCTGCGTTCACAAACTCGGTTAGCAGACGACGGCTTTGTCTCCAGTCACCTGAGCACATGTAAAGTGCAATTGAAGCCTTCAAATTAGCGTGCCAAAAGAATATTATTACGTGGTGGCTAAAATAAAACCCACGTCCATCGTGCAGGAAGAGTTTTCCATGCGAATTTAAGACATCGCAGCAGACGGTTCACACCCGTGACGCTCCAGACGTGCGCAGTGTTCTAGCCTATGACATGAACTAAAAACTAATGAAACACTGATATTCTAAATGTGATATAGTATTTATTGACTATATCTTATATTTATCTACATAAGAAACAAAAACGTCGGTGAGCTGCAAATGTGCTTTGTTTCGGCTTTGATAAAAAGTATCCCAAACAATGTTTCGAGTTGTCGCTATTCAACTTGCAAGCGCACCCAAACATACTGTTTAGACGAAAAAAAATATCCCCTTTCTAGTCACGATAAATAGACATGTCATAATGTCAAGATTCTTAGCGTTAGGTATACAAATATAGTTAACGAAATCAAGTTCCCCGTGCAGTGTTTCGCTCGACCGCACCAGACGACGGCGTGCGTTGCCGACGAGGTGGACACCCGGAGGCGATGTTGTTCTGCCTCATATTTAAAAAATAATTTCTCCAAAATATCAAAAAGTACTTTTCTAATTTTTTGATATGTTGAACAGAGGGGGTTGGTTAACCTTTCGGCTATTTCAGAAAATTCGAGCACCGTTGCCCACATGGCTTTTTTTCATCCTCTATAGGGCAGTTTTTGAAGAAAGTGTCATATTCACCATTTAATTAAAAACTGTCCGAATAATTTTTTACTGTTGTAATGCAACCTAGTTGAGTATAAGGTTTATAAAAATGAGTAGAAAAAGTTTCTTAGTCGAATTTTAATTTCAAGTTGTCTAAAAAAAATCAAGAAATCTTAAAAATTTGCTTCGGTTTGGAGTGCCTGTCTGGACCCAAAATGGCGGCGTAAGGTGTTTTCCTTTCAAGGTAAGATAGAATATATTTATGCTTGATCGCATGCAAACGTTAAATTATGTGGTAACAATAGCTTTTCTTCAGCAATTGTTTGAAAGACAGGAGGTTTTCTCAAATTCCCTGCACTTTCGAGCATGACGTCAGCAAAAATAAACATAATTCAGCCCTCAAACTTAGCCATCCTTACTTTCAAATGTGTCTTTATTCATATTATTTGTTTCAAGCATATCCAAAATATGACGAAAATTGCCGTCTCCTTTGGCATGGAATGACCCTGGGACAACTCGGTTTGCCTTCACCAAAACTTCTGGCCGGATTTGAGAGGTTGTTGCGCCGGTATCGACAAGTTCACGCACTGGTACCCAGTCTAGGACGCCTTGGAGGTAGATGGAAGTCAAAGATGAAGCCAAAACGCGAGTTGACGTAATTCTTCTTGGAGCCATTGTCGTTGAGGTCCGGCTACCAAAGCCAAGGTCATGGTTTGGGCACTGCGACCGCATGTGACCTTGCTGGTGGCAATTCCAGCAACTTGGAGCTGGAGGTGTTGCCGTCTTTATTGCTGGAGTTTGCGGTTGCATGAAGGACTCTACACGCGTGGATCAAGATGCCTGTCGGGCAGCCTGTACCTCCCAGGCACAAGTGTGTGCTACCCACAGAGTCTTAGGGCGTGCAAGGTGAACCGCCTCCTGTACCTGAACAGACGAGATGGCGTCGATAAATGCCATGGTAGCGACAGCTTCCACCGTGTCCTCTGGGCGTTCAACGTCATCCGCGAGGTCGGAGATTGTCTCCAGCGCAGACTGACGACGGTTGCGAAGTTGTGCATGATGAAGGAACCGAAGCGGCCCTTCCCCATTGCGCTCGTTCAATGCCGCGACCAAAGCCTGGTAGGATTGACGATTTTCAGGAGGCAAAAGATGCAATAGGGTCAACGCTGGTCCGGCGAGATGGACGGCCAAGTCTTGATGAGTCTTTTGGGCCTCTGACCAATGGTTCGCTTCAGCGATGAGGTTGAATTGTGATATGTAGGGGAGCCAAGGAGGGGTACCGTTGTATGTTGATGGTTAGTCGCATGCTCGGGTACTTCAAGGGGGTTTGGGCTGGAACGTCAACGACTCGGGGCTCCATGGGGTCAGGCAATCGGTCCTTCAGACGATGGAAGCGTTTAGTGAAAGATTCTGTCAGTTCCCGAAGGGATGAGGTTGCGCTTTGCAGAAGCTGGCTCTCCCGCCGTGCGGAGGAGGCTTCCGCATGCTGGAGGTGGGTGGTTATAAGGGCTACGAGCTGGGAAGCTGGTGGGTCCGAGGTGGCCAGATTTCCGGCGCTGACACTCGCGGTGTGTTCACCTTGGGGAGCGGATGTAAATTCCATGTTTCGGGGAAAACGTCGGCCGGAACGGAGCTCCACTTCTGACACCAACCTAGCCGTTACAGCTTACAAGCTCTTCATTTTCTGGACGTCCGCTTGCTTTGCTCGTAGGCTTCCAACTGTGTCGCGAGGTTCTGTCTTCTTCTCCTCGTTGTCTTCTTTTCCGCGACATCATCTTCGCTACAATATATATATATATATATATATATATATATATATCTTTCTCAGGTGGTTTAGCTCGGTATATCACAAAATCAAATACGTCCAGAGAGGAACAGAAGGAAGAGGGAAGGAGGGGAGGAGGAGCAGAGGAGGAGAAGGTACGGATGAGGAGGAGGGGCATACTCTTCCCTGAGTACTCTCCCCCCTCCTCCTCCTCGAGAGCTGCGCTCTACTTCGGCGTCACAGGGAGTAGTAAAAGCTTTCATTTTTTATATTTTTATGTCGTCCACTTTTCCTCCCCTTGTTAAGCAATCCGCTATCAGATCTTTGATGTTACATAAATTAATGCAAGAATTAATAAAACATCCGCGTCAAGCACCACAATGCAATTACCTTTTGGGAGTTCTCGCTAAGGAATTTATGTAACTTATCGTGCGAATAATGGTTGGAAAAGAGGCAGATGAGAATTCACTGGTAACGCACTGTTTTCCATTAAGTTTATACCAATATGGAAGATACAGCAGGTATAATCTGTCTGTAGTTTTGAGAAACTGAAAGAGAAAGAAGTTTTAAAGGCCATGTATACAGCAGCACACCTCCTCAGAAACAATAAATAAAATTTACCATAAGATGTATTAATAGAAAATTTACATGTTTATTGGTTGAACCATAAAAATAAGAAAAAAATATGCATTCATAACTGAGTCGTGCTCTAAAGATTTTATTTGGTTATATAGCCGCGGAAGCATGTGCAATATAAATTAATAATTTGATAGTAGTTGTGAGTCTAGTTCTTAGAATGCATCTATTTAAAAGGGCGGTGCAACGAGGTTTAGTGCGGGAATTAGTCTTTGTATCTGACACAGCATGTAAACTAACGCTTCTAACGCAATTCAGACGTCCCGCAAAAACCGGTTTCTCAACGTATCACGCTGCAATTTACTACACAGGTGCATGTAGGTGGTGGAAGACTATAGTGAAACGTTGTTGCTAGTTGGAAGTCTTCGTTGTCCGTCCCGCCTTTCTATGTATCTTCCTCATGCCCAAAACAGGTTTCTATTTTTTGTTTTTGTTTTCTTTTGAACGAGGTTAGTGCATTTTTTAATTTTGTCATTGAAAATTCGCTACAGGTCGCCCGCTTCCTCCGCTAAGTTTAGAGGAGGAACTTGATTGGTGTCTATTGGCGAATTCCACGTGTAGATCCGGAGCGCTTTCCAAAATCCGCGAGGGAGGCAAAATTCCGCTCCGTGGGACCCGCTCCGAATCGACGAGGGGAACATAAGCTCGTATATTTAGAGCGACCTCCCGCACACCCCGCCCCCCCCCACCCCCCCCCCCCCCCCCCCCCCCCCCGCTTCCCCCCTCCGCCGTTCAAAATTGCCGCGTCTCTAACTTGACCAGCGTTGACTTGACAAACCCACCAACGCCTCAGCCGACTTATCTTTCCGACGACCAGTGGCCACTGTCACTGCTTAGCTGCATAAATAACACGCGACACAGGCCGGGCGAAATTATACGTACCACGGCGCCCATGTCACAAATAACGAAGACGTCCGCGTTCGGCACCGTATGTGACGCCGTTGAAGCGGCGGGGCACGGGCAGCGATTGCCAGCGGTGGAGTTCAGATTTCTGGTACGACTTTAATAAACACTCAAGTAACAAACCGTCACTTGTACGGTCGTTGCCTAATCTCTTCTTTCTTCATTGAACGGGGAAACGCCGGCGGAATACACTGTAGAAAAGTAAACAATCACTGGCTGCAGAATGAACAGGCCTAACCTTGCGTCTGCCTCCGGCTTTTCTGTCGTTCTTCCTCTCACGATCACAGATGTCAGCGCTGCCGATTTAACACGCTCCAGTCCCGGCTTTGTATCCCTGGTCTACACGAGGTAGAAGCGTTCGAGCCGTCACAATCCCGCATAAACAACCGACGAAACCGACCAGATCCAACTCGACGACCCGACCGTGGCCCGACCGGCCCGCCGACCTCGCCAACCGCGCCGCGCAACCACACTGCGGATTTAGAAGGAAATGACGTAGGGCGTTCTGTCAGCTTCCGGAATGATCTGTAAAATCCCGCAGAGCAAGTTCGGCGGGGTTTGAGGCGCTCCACGGAGCGGGCGCTGCCAGGGATTTACGAGTGGAAGATGACCAGCTCGAGCCAGATCTGCTAGTGAATATGCGCGCTCCAAATAGAGTGCTTTTGGAGCGCTCGAGATCTGCGAGCAGAATTCATCATATGTCACGAGACGTGAATTTTTCTGCTAAATATTACGGCTAACTAACTGATGCATATGCCACGCTGATGTTAGTTTCCCGCTAAATTTATAGAAGAAACTGGATTGATGTTTTTTCCAGAAGACGGGAAATTTACCGCAAAGATTTGCCGGGAAACTGGGTTGACGTATTGGTCACGTGGCGTCGATTTTCCGAAGTTGCACGTGACGTCACGTGACGTCACCTGCCAAAAATAGCAGGGAAACTGAATTAGCTCATAAATCACGGGACATCAATTTTGTTTTGCTAAATTTAGCAGGAAAACTGATTCGGTGTGTATGTCCCGTGACGTCACGTCACATGACAAATTTGCCCGCTAAATGTAGCTAAGAAACTGCATTCGTGTATTGGTCCCGTGATATCGATTTCCCCACTAAATTTAGCGGGAAATGTGCGGACAAACGGATGGATGGACCAAAGTGTGGGATCGGGGTGTGTCGTTAAAATCACTTCAATCTTCAAAAATTTCAGAATATTATTTTTCCTGCTAAAACTGCGGTGCCTAGAACGCGGGTGCGACTGGTGTGTTTAGCATCCTATTCCACCCATGCTTTGAAAGTGAACCCAAAGTGGTAATAAATGACGACACAAAAGCCGGAATGTCGCGCTGTCGGATGTCGAAATCCTGAAAATTGTACAAGTTCTGAAAAAAAAAAAAAAAAAAAAAAAAGCACGAGCAGACGTGAGTGTTGCTGTCGTAGCGGCGTCCCAACTTCTGGCTGCCGAAGCTTCCGTGGACCGTCACACCAGAGAGCGACTTACAGCAGAGCAGGCTTCTGCCACATACACCAGAGCTGCTGGGACGCCGACAGGATCGCGACCGACGACAGCGTGACACTCATGTGACGTCATCAGGTGGAAATCGAGGGACCACTTTTTTGGACGTGGTAAGCACACCAGTCGGAGACACGCTCCAGGCACCTTACTAAAACCAAGACCGAGCTGGCGACCACTGCGGGAAGCTCGGCGCGTAACTTCGGCGCCTGGGGGAGGTGCCCATTGCGATGCCTTGCCACTCACAAAATAGTTCAACACGTTAGAAAAAAAAAAAAAGTTACAGCACTTTTTAAAAAAAAAAAAGGTTAGAGGTTAGTTTTGGCGTATTTTTTTTTTTATCCAGTGAATCTGGATATTTCGTTCGTTTTTCCCGAAATTGTAACGATATGCGAGAAAGCAGAAAAACCTCCGAACAGTCGTGACGTCATACGCGTCCCATTGCTTGCTTGACGGATATATTTTCCGCATTGACACCAGCCGTGACGTCTCCTTCTGACCTTTTTGAACCTAGCAAGAGTGTGCGTGCATAACTTTGACAGGCGCTGAAGATGCGCGAGAGTGAAGATTTCGAAAACTCCTAATATGACGTCATGCTCCGGGAAGGAGGGGCTTTAGCGGTACTTTAAAAATTAATTTCTGCAGACTCCGTGCACCAAATAAAGAAAAAATAATCTCGATATTTGTGATACCGGAGTCAAAATAAAGACGATCTAAATGTTTTCCCTCAAGTACAGAACCGCGCCAGTCTCCCTTTAAGGACCACTTCGGTTTTTATTCGTTCTTAGGTATATGGACCAGGCGGCTCGAATGTGTAGTTGTGAAGATGCGCCCACGAAACCTTTGCAGATTTGTCATTTTTTTGAGGAACAAGTTCTCTTTTTCTTTCAACCAAGCGATTTGGAAGGCATGTCGATCCCGTAGAAGCAAATTTTAGGAGGCACCGCAGTTAGTCCTTGTCGGTGAGACTTTTTAAGTACCAAGTTTTTAAGTAAAAACAAGCAGCAAAAATAGCCAGCCACAAGTAACGTACTGCACTCGGAAGTTAGGTCATGTTTGTTTTTGTTTAGCTCCCCACACCCTGTATAAGAGTAAAGCAAGCGCTGTGCGTTTTCGTTAGCTTTGCGCGCTCCATGCTGTGCATGCGCGTCATCGCCATTCGCCAATTAGAGACGCAGTTTGAAGCTCCGCGCGCGCTCAGTGTGGAACACGCAACGCTAACGCAAACGCATAGCGCTTGCGGTTGTTGGTATACGCGATACTAAAACCCACTTATGCGTCGCACCGCTGAACCTCTGTGGTGCGGACGCAGTGCGGAGAGAAAGTACGCCACGGGCCGCCGGTTTAGCTTCTGCTTGAAGCCGGTACATTTCTTACCCCGTAGCCTCAACTACCAATTCTAAGTGTAATAACCACTGATCTCTCTGTCTATTTTCTGGATCGCGTTTGACCAGCTCCGCCTATGGACCGAAATGCGGTCACTGGCGGCCATCTTTAGGTAGAGTTATATCATCTCTAGCCATCATAGTAATATGGCGGACAGCGCAATGGCGGCCGGGTGCCATAAAATAGCCGTGGATCTAGTACACTGTACCGTGGGAGATATTTCGTGCTTGATTCAAGTTGTTCGACGACGCAGATTCTTGAAACCCGGCGTGAACGGTAGCCTCATCTTTGAGGGCCCGGGGAAAGTTCTACGAAAGCGCAGCACCGGGGGAAAGCAGCGCAGCTCGCATCGAAAGCAGACTCCGTACTGGCGTCTGCTTTTGATACTAATTTTGATGCGACTTTCGATGCGAGATGTGCTGCTTTTCCCCCGGTGCTGCGATTTCGTGAAACTTTCACCGGGTCCTCAAAGATTGCGCTACCGCTCACGCTGGGTTTCAAAAACATGTTTCGCCAAACAATTTCAATCAAGCACGAAATATCAACCACCCTATTTTGACGGCAGCCTGCCACCACACCTGCCAAAACGCTGTCTGCCATGGATGGATTACAGTGGATGCAGGAGTTGTACCTTGGCTAGAGGTAATATAACTCTACCTAAAGATGGCCGCCAGTGACCGCATTCGCAGAGCGGGCAAACGCGATCCAGCAATTATCATTGAGATCAGTGGTAATAACAATGCTTTCGCCCCCCCCCCCCCTTTCCCCCTTTTGCGCACACCAGAGGGCGCCGTCGGACGAAGAGGAGGGCATCCTCTTATCCGATGGTGCCTTCTGATGTTTGCGATAGTTCGAAGATAATCGATCTCCGAGATTTTAATAGAGAATTCTGTCGAGCAAGTATGTAATGTTTGGTATTTTAGGATGCTTGGGTCCCATAGATTGAGTTATTACCAGATGCAGACTATGACAGAAAGCGGTTTAGTGCCCCTTAAAGGGATGCTGAACCGAAATCTAGATTCCACAAAACACGGCGACAGAAGTGTGCAACGGGATGCTACGAACACCAAAACATCGCTCACACAGCGATATCTGGAACAAATGACCGTATTTCCGAAAAAAAAAAAAAAAAAAGGAGGCACATTTGACAGATATGTTTAGGATTTGTTTCTCCGAGAAGGAGAGGGAACGGCCTCGCGTCTTCTCCGCCTCGCCGCCTTGAGGGGGCGAAGCGAAGAGAGGATGAATCTAGGTATCTTGACGTCACGCGCCTCGTCGACCTTGTTCAATCTCGACCTCTTTTTACAAAAATACGGCCGTCCATTCCAGATATCACCTTGCAAGTGATATTGCAGGGATTGTAGCGTCCCACCTACCGCTCCTGCATTGTTTTCTAAGATCCAAATTTCGGTTCATCATCACTTTAACCCCAAGGAAAGTTTACGGTTGGTTTAGAAACTCTTGCCCTCCTAGAAAAAGTTTCCTGTTTCTTGCTGTGTCTTGCATATGAAATGAGGTGATCGTCGAGAAGCTGCGTGCTACTTCTCAATTACACATGTAAATAGGGAGTTTTCGTCGATCATTTCCGTCGTCTGCAGCTCTCTTCACACCCCGCTACGATATGCGGAACTTTGCACATAAGATCAGGAACTGTTCACATAGTAGCGGCATCTCCATTCCGTAGAGTGTAGCGGAGGAGCTGTCTACAAAACCTTAAAAATTTAGCGGGCTTACGTTCTGCCTAGTTCAGCGGAGAGTCTTCAAGGGACAGCTGAACGTGACGCAATGCCCTGACTTTGAAGTGACACGGTGACTTCACGTTACCTCATGACGTCACATCACACAAAATTCCCGCCCAATTTTGTGCATATCTTTTTTCTAAGTTTAGCTATGAAATTCTCGCGATAAATTTTGCGGAGAAATTTCCCCTTTCAATTTAAATGGGAACGACACGCGATACTGTGACGTCACAATGTAACAACACCTCTGATATCACGCTAAATTTAGCGAATAAAGTTTTTGGCTATATTTAGCAGGAAACGTTTGACGTCGTGTGACGCGACTTACCGCGACGCTGTAATTTCCAGCTAAAGTCATCAAAAAAATAAGCAAAAAAAAAAAAGAGAAAACTCGCTTCGCCAAATGTAGCGGACAATCTTTTGCAACTAAACTAAGCAGGCCACGGCTACTTACACACGCTAAATCTACTGCGAAACGTCGCCAATAATGGCCATCGTCGTGAAAAAAAAAGCAAAAACATACTGTAGAGACACAAAGCAACTCTAGTGCATTTAAGGAATGCATTTTTGCTTGGTATGGGGGGCTCTGTATATTGAGAAATATCCGGGAGAGCTCATCGCCCTAAAAAAGCATTCGCACGAAAACAAAGCACAAGACCGATGCCGTCGGTATTCAAACTGAAGTTAAAGCAAGTAGGCAGGCGAGCACGCACGTAGCCAAGATTTTGTTTCGGGGGGGGGGGGGGGAAGGGGGGGGGGGGGGCATGACGAAATGCTGTATGAAGAGGAGGACCCAGCAAAATGGAAGATTTCTGGGGGAGGGGGCGGCATGGCCCCGCCCCCCTGGCTCCGTGCCTGCAGGCGAGCTGGTTAAGGATAGATATAGTAACCCTGAAGCGAGGGAACACAAAAGGGGACGGACAGACACGAAACTCCGGATTCTCCATACTTCGGACTTTCGTGTCTGCCCGTCCCTTTTTTGCCCCCACGCTCCAGGGTTACTATGGATATTCAAACATTGGAAATTTGTGACATGAAGGATCCGCTTCGCGATTGCGATTCGAACGCCAATATGAGGGCAGCCTTAAAAACACACTAAAATGTATGAAACAAATTAAAGGGACACCTACATCCCCCGTTAAAGTTTGCTTTGGCGGGAAATGTCTGTTGTTTTTTTTTTTTTGGAGGGGGGGGGGGGGCTTTGGAAAGCCAAAAAGCGACTGCTCGAACCCGAAACCGAAACCTGCGCACGGCAATCATGTTTTTTTTTTTTTTTTAATTTGATAGTATCTTATGCAATTTTATATGATAGCACTTATGAGCGAACGCAACGCACTCTTTTAAATTCAATTGCATTCTTAAATTATGAGCTAATCCTATGCCCCTTCAAGTCCACCCGTCTTCTTGTAAACATCTAAAGAAATACGCCTGCGCGGGGGAGTAGTAAGGGGATAAAGTAAAGAAAAACACCGAAATACTAGATGTCCCCCAAAGGGAATAGAGCCCATGACCAGAACGTTATTAACCCCACGCACAACCAGTTAACCAAAAGAAATACTTATTTGAAAAATTAAGGCCTTACTTTTACATTAAAAAATCGCAATGCACAACGGGTCGCTGAAACATTTGGAAAAAAAGTTATTAAGCAAAACCGATGTTGCTCGAGATGACGATAAAATGCCTACTGCCAGTTTCCTCACGGGCCGTGAAAATCATTAAAATTAATCATTGACAGCTTCACGTTGGTCGCCCACTACTGCAGTTAATGGGGGTGTACGAACAATTGGTCCCGGAAATAATGGTCCCGGAAATAATGGTCGCCGAACAAATGGTCCCTGAACAAATGGTCCCGGAAAAAAATGGTCCCGGAATTAATGGTCCCAAGCGCAATATAGGAAAAATTGGTGCCCTAAGAAGGCTGTTTTGAAACTAAGAAATACCATGCAATACACTTCATCCGTTATGCAATCAGTGATTTCCTGGCGGAGTCAAGGATCTTGTCTATATTTTGAGGCCGGTTTCTTTGAAGAAAGTGGTCGGGAGTTGAACTTAATTTTATTCAAAATCGTCAGATTATTTCGAAATTAAATACTGTCCAACAGTTTACTCCTAACTGTAAATTTAGTGATGTTATACGATATTCTAGGAGTTATTACTAGTTTCATATCAGGGGCTTTAGAATATTAGATATCAGTAGGCTCTTTTGAAACAAAAAAATGAGTACCCCGAGTTCATATCACATGAGCGAATGATGTTTCAGTGAACAGCGACATTTGAGCGAATCGGCGTTTTAGCAAGTAACAAAAGCGCGTGCTAACCCCAACCCCCCCCCCCCCCCCCCCCCGCCCCCCGCGGTGCGCTTACGCCGCTTCGCGGCGACAGTCTGCATAGGCTCATTACAAAATTGTTAACTCACTTGGCCTGCCCGTAAACGCCGCTTTGCGGCGGCCGACTATACGCTAAAGTGTCATCCGGTGAAACGTGGGCGTTCACTAAAACGTCATTCAAACAAGTGAGTGCCTCCCCCCTAGTCATACTGTTGAAGCCATGAAACTCGAATTACTTCCATCTCGTCATGACACGTGATGGTAGCACATATAACGATCGGAGCTCGATGCCTTTATAGGTGCATTAGGTTTCCAATGCGAAAACATTTCTCAGCTTCCCAGCAAAATATAAAAATCGGTCGAGTTCGTGCAACCGGCAGCCTCAAAATTCGGCGAGTGTTATTGGATTTTATCGGATTTACTCAAAAAACGCAGCAGTCACATTGACGATATTTATCTGGGACTATTTTTTCCTAGTCTGTACTTGGGACCATTAGTTCCAGGACCATTCGTTCCGTTTCCCCAGTTACGAACATACTTTCTGGTACACATCTGCTCTCATGTTGACATTCTCAATGGACTAATAGGGTTCTGTACGGGCATGTAAATCCTCATGGCGACTTGTGAATCAGTGATTATAAAAATCGAGAATATATCGCGAACCCACACCGCGTTACATGCTGGTAGTGCCAACAGGTATCTTTGACTTTTTTTGTTTAAACGTATAAAGTAGGAGAGAAACATTTTAATTTTCCTAATGCTACAATAAAAGTCGTTGGTAGTTGAAATAGAAAGTTCCATCAGAACATTGTGTTATTATGTTTTAAATGTGATAGAATAACTTATGGACGCTGGCGAAGCATAATCTTAGAAGCTCCATAGCAACATCCAAGCAGCTTAGTAAGGAAATATTTACGCAGTGCGCAACGGGGGAATATGCTATAGCGTTGCAACGGCAATCAGCGAATAAACTTCAGTTGCAAATAGCGCTCTGTGTTGTTCGTTTCTTTTACTCGTCCGTTGTTTTTAGCGCTTTTACCCTCACAAGCAATCAGCGCGGCGACTAAAAAAATATATTTAGCGACCTATGCCAACTTGTATTGATGCAACTATTACTGAGACGCCGTTGGTAATTCTAGATAAGTTGTATCATTTTTATAAATTCTATACACAGTAAGAGGTTTTATTTTTTACTAAACGTATTTTTGTCGAGTCATATTACTTCTGCCTTTCTATACTCTTCCATGACACGTAAACCGCAGTTTACAGACCGCCCTTAATTAAGTTGTTCTTCTGCATGAGCTTTTAGAATTACTTTTTAGAATAGCGCCACATCGCAGACTAAAATTAAAATAAAAGATTGCATCCGAAAAAAAATATATATATATTACTTACGTCCCACGCATTTCGAGATTCCAAAATATTAGTTAAGCTTTCGAGGATATCTCCTGGAGGACATTCACACTGGTCTTCGGGTTTGCAAAAAACAGCAAACAAAGTTATTAAGGAAACTCTAAAAAATGTCTTCATCGTAATGCAACCAGTGTAAGCTAGTCACTGCCTAGCACTGACTTCAGCAACTTGAGAACATTTGCTGCCTTTATATCTGCATTCGTCACAGCACACGCAAACGCAGCTGTGAAACACAGAATCTAACTTTTGTTTAATTTTTTTTTGTTAATGTCTATAACTTTTTGAAAACACGACTAAATAGAAACCCTTTGAAGATCAATTAAACATATCAAAGTAAACTGCGAACCTGTAAATCGATGCCTCTCTGACAGAGTAAAATTTCAAACTTGCAGCGAGTAATTAAAACTAGTGACCGTTGAACTGGACCGGTCTTTATATTTGCCCGTGGCAAGCAAACAATTGCACTTTATCACCAAGGGTTTTTGGGGTTTTGGTGTTTTACCTGCAAACATCGAAAACGGCCAAGAGCCAACGTTAGCTTTTTTTAGTAAGACTAAACTTGGTATTATTTATTTATTTCTTATGCCTCAAACGACTCATAAACGGGGTGTTACAGGACAGTTAACACCTCAGAATATAACTTGTTCGATGGCTCTTTTTTAAAACAGTAAAGCACCGCGCCACTGGACAGATAATTGCAGTCGTTTGCTGTCTGGAGAAAGAACGAACAGAGATAGGCAGTAGTATTATCATACGTTGGATCACAGCTCTTTGGTGACTGAGGCGGCAACAAATGCGATTAACTAGCTTGATAGCAATGTTTTCAAATAATTCGTGACACAAGTTTTGGAAAGAATGACATCTGGAAATTTGCGTCGTAATTCATTATTTTATAGATTAGCCTAAGATTTTAGTCCAGTCACGCTTGCATAGTCGTCGGAGTAGACAAACTTCGCCGTTGAATTTTGAACCGATTGAAGTATTTTACAGGGATTATATTATTTAGTGTTCCAAATCGTACGTGCGTACTTTATTTTTGGTTGAACCAAAATCTAATAGGCTAATACTTTTGGAGAGGAAATGGCTAATCGCAAGTTTTGTTCCAGAGAGCCAAGGACGCGGTTAGTTTGATTAGACTTGTTGGTTATATGGGATGACATCGCAAGGTCATTAGTTAATTTTATGCCTAATAAAAATAATGCTGTGTGTATTTTTATAGAGTCGGAAGTTAGTCAGCCCCAATGGGCATCTGATGTGTTACCTGTAAATGAGAAATCTGGGTCTAGGACTTTTCGGTGGGGCTTTTAGGTGTACAGACTTTTCGGTGCACGGACGTTTTTGTGTACGGACTTTTCGCTCCAAGGACTTTTCCGTTCACGGACTTTTCGGTGTGGGACTTTTCGGTGCACGGCCATTTCATTCCTTCATTTCATTCATTCATTTATTGATACTGTCATCCCATTGGGCTATTACAGGAGTGGGTATACAAAAATATAAAATGAGAGTAACCATTATACAAATAGTAATTAAACAAGACAGTGGATTGCACAAGACCGCTTCATACACTTAAAAGCGCACAAGAAAAAGTTATAAACTGAAAGCAGCACAGGTATTAACATTTCAAAAGAAAGCAGAAACTTAATCCGTATTTGTACAATTACGGCTTTTCACGACTGCCACATTCGACAATGTTATGTATACTTTCTAAAAAGGTATCAAGGGATGTTAACGAGACAGTAGAATCGGGCAGCATATTCCACTCTTCAATGGTTCTAGGGAAAAAACTGAATTCAAAACAATCATTTCGTACAGATGAATTACGAATGAACATGCTATAGCGATACCTTGAGGATTCGTTAGTGCTCATTTCGAAGTAATCCGATTTGTTGATCTTTATAAATATATGTATAATTTGGAAAAAGGATTTCAACCTTTCGTACTTGGTCCTCAATTCCAAAGATGGGAGATTTGCGAGTTCACATAGTTTTGTAGGAGAAAATGCTTGGCCGAATTTGTTAAAGATGAACCTGGAAGCAAGTCACTGAATTTTTTCCAATTTATGAACATTCTTTACAGTATGTGGATCCCACGCAATTTTCGCGTACCTAATAATCGGTCTTACCAGGGCTGTATAAGTCAGGCTTCTTATTTCCGGAGTTGCACTGGTAAGGTTTCGTCGGAGGCACCATAGTGCTTTGTTGGCCTTAAGACAGACTTTATCGATGTGGGTATTCCAACGTAGGTCAGGTGTAAATACTAAACCTAGGTACTTATTCTCTTTTACTCCTTGAAGTCCGGCGCCGTCAATGTGATAGTTGCATGCTAAAATAGCTTTTTCTATATACTGACATGAAGACTGATTTTTCAAGATTTAACACTATCGGCCAATTATCACACCAGTGCTGAATTTTTTGTAGATTACGATTTAGTTCGTCCTGGTCAACTGGAGTTCCTATCTTATGGTATAGCACACAGTCATCCGCAAATAGTCTAATTGGAACGGCTATGTCTTTATGGAGATCATTTATGAATGTTAAAAACAAAAGTGGACCCAAAACACTCCCCTGGGGTACCCCTGAAGATACAGGTGAAAGGCTAGACTTATGTCCCTTAACTTCTACAAACTGTTCTCTAGAAGAAAGGTACGATGAAAACCACTGTGTGACGGCTGGATCTTTAAAAATTGACGTCAATTTTTAGTAATTGCTTATAGTGCGACACTTTGTCAAACGCTTTCGCGAAGTCCAAAAACACTACGTCAGTTTGACCGCAACCATTAATTGTATAAGAAAGGTCATGTACAGTTTCGATAAGTTGAGTTGGGGTGGAAAGTTCTTTCCGAAAGCCATGCTGGGATCGGAACAATTATTCATAACCTTAGAGATAATCCATTAAATTTTTAGATACGATGTGTTCAAGCAGCTTCAAACATGTACTAACAAGCGAAATGGGCCGATAGGTGCTTACGTCAGACACACTGCCACCTTTGTGGACAGGAACCACTTTCGCGCATTTCCAAGCACTAGGAAAAAAACAATTATTGATCGATGACTGGAAAATCATTAATAGATATTTGGAGACCCAAACTGCGTACCTTTTCAAAACCTCATTTGGGATTCCGTCCGGCCCGGGGCTCTTTTTTTGTATTGATATTAAGTAAAAGGTTCAAAACTCCTTCCTCGTTTATTTCTATATCTTTAATAGGAGGGCTGTCTGAAAAGTCAACAAATCTAGGCAAGTTTCCATCGTCATCGATAAACACAGACAAAAAGAAAGTGTTAAATTGTTCCATGCGCTCTTGATCATTGGTTTCATCGCTAGTGCGACGCGGATTGACCGAGGGATTAACGTACCGCCAAAACTTGTGTGGTGCCTTCCTGAGAAATCGTTTAGGTGTCACATTGTAAAATTTCCCATTAGGTTTCTTTACTAGCCGTTTTAATTGCTGACTCATGCGGTGAATGCATGATTTATCTTTGATATTCGAACCATGTGAACGCGCTCGCTTCCGTTTGAGTTTTCTTTTTGCATGTATTATTTCCCTATTAATCTGGGGGTTTTGGTTCCTAATTTTTTTATAATACTTTGGAATCAACCGCTCAAGGCATTGCTTAGTTATGTTCGTAAAGAAGTTCCATAGCGTCTCAGTACTGCCATTGTATTGAAAAAGAAACGTAAAGTCATCCAATGGGGACTCTTCAAGATAATCGAGCACGCTGACATCATCGGCAGCCCCGAAATTTAGAAACGTCTTTTGCGAGTATCTATGCGGGATATTTCGGGTCATTTCAAAAGACGCAAGTACCATTTTATGATTCGAAGAGCTCTCGACAGTTTCACAGCCGGAAAGAAACAATTTCAAGCATGCCGATATAAAAACTAGGTCCAAGATTGACGACCTTTTGAAGTCACTATTGTGTGATCAGTTACAACCTGGGTTAGATTGTAGCAACACGCAAGCTCTATTCATTGGTCATAGCTGGCTACTTCCGTCGATCCAGGAGAAAGTGATAACCAATCTACCCCGGGTAAGTTGAAATCCCCCAAAAGTAATATGTTGTCCTCGTGACGTAGATTCAAGTCCATATAAGTTTGAAGCTTTATCATCACATCAGCCGACGTATTCGGAGGCCTATACATTCCACCAATAAAGACAGTACTATTATCGAGCTCAGTGTTAATCCGCAATGCTTCAACGTCACGTACTTCATCAAGAGCAGAAAACTGAATGTTATTTTGAATCATGATAGCAACTCCACCGCCTCTTCCTTCTCTATCCTTTCTTACTATTGCGTAGTTCGGGGGAGTTACTTCAGAGTCGAGTAAATCTTTATGCAACCACGTTTCTGTAATTACGATGATATCAGGTTCATGTGCCAAGATTATGCCTTCAATTACATCGAATTTATTCAAAATACTTCTGGCATTCATGTTCATGATCTTAAAGCACACAGGTTCTTTGAATTTTAGTTACTCATTTTCATCTCGCGGGGTGGTTTCAATGGGAGTCCTCACCTCCTCATCCTCATCCTGCCTGCTACTCGGTGCACGACCAATCAAAATCACGAGATTATTTAAGTTTCCTCTAAACGTAATAAGCACTATATTAGCTAAAAATTAATTTCGTCGCACTCCATAATTTTTTAGACTGTCATCCATTTACGGTCACTTGCTGATATACGACCAATGTGAGTTTTTTAAGCACAGCAACATACTGCGTGAGGATCGGAGGCATTGGACGCTATGGTTTGTTTGCCGTTGCCTCTTTTCCAACTTACGCACTAGACGCATTACATCGTGTTTACGCTCTGGTTCGATATAGGCGTTCTCGGCGTCTTCTGTAAGGCTATGGGCTTCAATATTGGTAATCCGATCAGGAAAGGCCCCAACATTAAAATAGTTTGAGTATCTTGGAAATTATCCGAGTAAAAGATGAGAAACTTCTTCTAAGTTTGAGACGTCCTTTTTGCTGTGTTCTTTTTCTTCCTCAAAGTTTCCCATTTTTTACCGCGGTCTCAAGTTATTTTCAACTTCATCAACATCAAACTAGCTCGCCTGCATACTCACTGTCTTTTCGTAAAGCTTGAGAAGTTTTTGCTATATGATAGCTAAAAAAA